AAAGTTTCCTAAAAACATCCACTTTCACTCTCATGAAAATGACTTCTCATTCTTATCTCCCATGTGACTTCTAAAATGTGTGAGTAAATACAAAAATCTGTCATTAAAGCAGAAGTGGATCCTAACAACAAATGCATGCTTAAAACCCAGCACACTTTTTACTGGTATAATTTTCTGACCAGCATCTTCTGAGAGTGTTCAGAAGACACAGAAGTGAAATACTTCACATGAAGTGAAATCAAAAGCAGTCTGACATAGTAGTGAATAACACAGGTGAAGGCAGAGAACATCCAGTATCACCTGAACATCCAGGTGATACCCAATATACTTACATTCTTGTCCATTAATTGAGCATTTCTAAAAATACTTCTCCAGACAAGTGTTTTGTACAATTATTTTTTTAATGTAGAGAATAAACCCAGCCTAAATCAACAGACAATGAGGAGCAACCTATAGGCAATGAGGAACACATTATTCTTAAAACAAGATGACTTGATCGTTTTAATGCTCAAATACTGAAATATGGGCACCGAGAAAGCAATGGGAACTGCAGGTGCTCAGCATCTCTCTTAACAAGAAAACAAAAGTAATTTAAATATTTTTTTTAAAAAATCCAAATAACAGAGGTGGATTTTGAAAATCTGGAACCAAGCACGTTGCCTAATAACAATAAATCAGACTCTTAGCGTCTGAATTAAAAGGCAATGATTTGCTTACTATTTCTTGATTCTCAGTGTACAATCTTAAAAGCACACTGAGTATTTTTCGAAATTTTTTTTTAAATCTTCTTCAGTGCAATACCAATTCAGTCAAGGCATTAAAATCCTGATGTGAGAAGGCTCAGAGACATTTTAACATTATTGTACTTGTATATCTTACTATGGGAGAGAAGTTTGAGGATGTCTTTTCAATTTTAAACTTTCACTATCTGTTTTTTTACTTTTACTAGGGTAATGGTAGAGGAATCTTTGTGGCATGCCATGCAGGAAAAGCATGGGGAAAAAAATAGTCTTCCCTCAGGGCAGCATAAACGTGGCAGGAAAAATACTAACATTAATAAAAATATCAGAGACCAGGTAATTTAAAAAAGCCTGTTCAGCTCAGGATTTTCTACCACTTGATTAAAAAGTAAATGCTCCCAGCTTTAGTCTATTATTAATTTTCTTTCCCAATTCTTGCGGGTAGAGAAGACAGGAAGTAGAATAATGTAGTAAAAAAAGGTCTAGGCTAGAGAAATCCCTTAAGGCAAAGGTATAAAATTTCAAGTTCAAGGTACTAAACCCATGAAATGACATAGCCAAATTCTGCCCTCAAACACCAACAGCAAACATAGCATTTTAATAAGAAATAGATGAATATACATGAATCAAGTTCAACAACTGCAAGTCCTCAAGAGTAAATATTGATCCACATATTTTACAAGCCCTTTCACATGGCCCTCTCCAAGGCACATCCACACAAGCACAGGGGTTAGCACATCTTACCAGGCTACCACCTCTCAGCCTCACAGTCACTGAGTGTGCAGGCTGAAGCCTGTCCCAGCTGCCAAGTAAAACAGGTTAACTTACATCCCGTGCACTACATTAATTTGCTTTACTCTGCAGGAAAGAAAGGCAGGAGCCTGCATGCCGTCAGTTATCTCATCTCAGCTGCAACTTTACATGACCTGCAAACTCTATCACTTGTCATCTGGCAATCATACTCCGTAACAGGATGAAAGATGAACAAAAACTTGAATGCTTAGAGCATCAGCTGTCCAAAACTGCAGGCAAACAGCATCACAAACCCGGTCGCTTTGGGTTGTGATAGAGCAGGCAAGCACGGTCACTGTACAGTGGGAGTCAGAAAGCAATCTTTGAAATAAACACAGATATCCAACTTAGAAAGAGCAGGCCAAGATTATAAACTTTAAAACCCTTACCAAATACACTGAACTGCGGTTATTACGCTGCTGTATTCCTATATGGAGGGAGGCTGAACCAGACAGCTTTAGATTTCTGCAGTTAGGTGAAAGACGTCTCTCCAAGAAAATAATACTGTTGTAGCACTAAATTTTAATTTTCACAGTGAGTTTAGTTCCTGAATATCCTTTTGAATGATTTTTTTGTGTGTGTGTTTTGTTTTCAAAGCTCAGGTGACCATAAAAAAAAAAAAAAAGTGCCAAACTGGACTCTGTTGGTTGGAAACGAATGCTGTTAATGCTGGCACTGTATGTTTCCATAAACTAGTTTCATCACTCAAACTCTAAGATTTTTCCCCACAGAATACTATAACAAGTTAACTTACATTACATATGCGTCTTTGAACACTGCATGTTATAGCAGATTTGACCAAGACACGTGGCTAAGCCTGTACACACACAAGGCCTTTGGAGTGTACAACTACACTACCAGAACAAGGGTTAAACCTAGCGTTGCCCAAACCTTCTCAAATGCACAAACTAAATCAAAACAGTGCTAAAAGCCTTGCTGGCCAGATAGATCTGTGAGCTACCCTGACACAAGAAACTTGCAATTGGTGTGAAACAGAATGCTCCCCCTTTTGCCCTGACTGAGCAGTAACAAGTCATTTTGCCTGCTCTATTCCTGCTCTGAGCTCAGCCAGGACACAGAAAATATTTTAAAGCATCAAGATTGAAGTACAATAGATCAATCATTACTAATAAAACTAAGGTGTCCACTTCTCGCAACACAGTTCCTTGATTCTCTTCATTATTCTCCCTGTTGGTCTAAGGCCTCTTGTTTCCACTACTCTGTTTCCGTTGAACATCACACTGACCTCTGCTCCCTGCATCCTATCACACTCACGAGAGCTGGACCAGCCTGTCACAGCTGAAGCAGATTGGAATTAGCTATTCTGCTTTTACCAAAAAAAAAAAAAAAAGTGTTACATCATTTTTATTGCAAGAAATTGCTCATGATTTCAGAAAACAAGCCTTTGATTTTTTTCACTTTCTGCGAGCATAGTTTGATGTAGCTGGACTTCTTGAAACACATCACCAAAACGTGACTAGAGTGGAAGAGAAGGCTGATTAAGTTTACGCTGGGTGACTGCTTTCTTCTGAAGAAGAATCTAATGCATTATACTTCTTAAACATGACAGGATAAGCTGCTAGTTTCCTTCCCAGGCATTAAGTTGTTGCCTTAGGATAAGAGACCCTTTCCCCCTTCTGCTCTGTTGTGGTTTAACCTTCCTTGGGTCTTAAGAACACATAAGATATACACCTCCCAATCCCCACTTTGTAAACTCTCTGAGGCAGGTTAAGACAAGTTAGTTACCCTTCTGATATATAAAAGCTCCGGCGTAATAGTAGTTTGTGCAATGTCATTTCTCAGCCTACTCTCAGCACTATTTAAGACGGGCTTGTGGAATGCTGGGTGAGAAACATATAATCAGTGAATTAGTATCCGACTCCTCCCCCTCCCCCCCCCAACCCTAGTAAGAGAAGATGATGTGCAGAAGAAAAGGATCGAGAGGGAAAAAAAATGGTCATTTGTAACATGAGAGCGCTATATACTGAGCCTTGAAGAGGGATGCATGGTTTTAACTACAGATAACTACACTCTTAAGGTATCTCGGGTTTTATCTTGTTGCCACTAAGTCAAAAGAAAGCCCTTAGGGTAAAACGAACAAACAAAAACCCCCAAGGGTGGGTGGGTGCGTGAAGAAAATAGCAAGAACTGTTGCCACAGAAAGTTTCCAAAGTCAAAAGTTACTGCTAATTTTGTATTTAAGAAAAGGATACCCTTCCTCCTCAACAGGCAATCAAAGCAGAAATTACCCATAATATCCAGTTCCACAGCTCTGTTTGGCACAGGTATGAACTGACAGGCATAACCAGCAATCCTTGCTGTGTCTGGCTCACAACAAAACCTGTACCAGCTGTGCACTAAAAATATAGGTGTGAGCTACCTATAAATACTGGGAATTTAAGAAACACAACCTTCTGACCCTTAAAACCCCTTGAAATTCCCAGGAGGTGAAAGTACTTTTAAAGTTAAAGGCTTTGTTGCTAATGCACCAAAGCACATTTTGGAGTTCAGGAACGTAATAATTCAGTTCCAGAAATACGCGTGAAAAAAACACAATTTAAACCTAAACATAGCAAGACCACATTCCTAACTTTCTCCAAGTATATCCCTTTGAAGAGCACATACTTGTGTTGCTTTTTTCCTCCAGAAAGCTGACTGCTCAAAATAGTCCGCTCTGCTTAAAAACCACTGTTTTTAAACAGAGCGGTTAATTCCACCAGAGTTATTTCTGTTCAAGAGTACTGCTAAATTTAACTGACAATGGGGAAATCTCCTGTTAATGGACGTTTCACATATTTAACAAAAGCCCATGTTTATGCATTACTAAATGTATGTCTGCTTTTTATTTATTTTAAACTTGATCTTCATTATACAACTGAACAGTCAATGCTTATAAACCATTGACCAAAGCCTTTCAACATGCAAGTATTTTATACCCATTATGAATGACTGGGTGTTCTTGGAAGCTCAACACTTTTTTTTTTTTTTTTGGTGCTATT